CCCAATTAAGGGTATTAATAGGTATTATATCGCAAGGCTACCAGCACCCCATGCATTCTGAATTTCAAAAGTAATCATCCACTATCACATAAAAAGAATTGTGTCAGAACACTATATGGAAGGGTGAATACCCACTAGTACCCAGCAAGCAAAACAGCTGGAGAGCAGCTACTTACATGAACAATTCAGGCTAGAATGGATACCCACAAGTGTTTACTACAAGATAACTGCCCAACATGCAGGGGAGAGAAAGGAAGAAAGATGGCACCAACCAAATGGTACACCCTGCCATATTTCAAAAAAATTCAGAAGCAGTGGAACGCAGCTTCCAAGATCTACAAGTAGGCATTGCCCACTACCCAGAGTCTACCATATGAAGACAAATCATGCATTACAAAGATTGCTGGGAAGTGGGAGAAACTTCTATTGTAATTTACCAGATTCTCTGTATGGATTGCTCATGACTATATAAGTCAGATGGGAAGGAAGCTAACTATCAGATTGCAAGAATATGAATCAGGAGACCTGAACTCATTGGTAGCCTTACATTTCAACAAACAAGGACATACTTTCAATTTCACAGCTGCTAAGATTGTTGGTTGAGCAGGAACAAAAATAGCCAGAAAAATGATTGAATCTAGGAAGTGGCCCCTTATCAGTCAACAGGAATGATGATTTACAACCAGCTTATCAGATATTTAGGAGCCAAGTGTGTGGCAGCTCAAGGAAACAACAATTATCAACTTAATAATTGGCCATCAACATCCAATTAACAATTAAATAGCCACACAGAATGAGGCACAGCCACATAAATTCTATACAAGGAATAGCCCAGTGCACACATTCTGGAGAGAAAAAAGTTTAAAAGCTTGGAAGATTAAAACTCTGGTCCTGGTGACTGATTCAGTTTGGATCTTAAGTGCTATTGCTATTAAAATTCACCAAGATATTTTATTCAAAACGTAGAAAATTGCTATGCTTTGGGGTTTGTTCGATGAAGAAAAGAACTGTTTCAGAAATATATTCCAAAGTTGAAGAATTTGATTTAGTTTATCTTCTTCTAATAATTCCACAGTATCATATGCCATTAATATACATTCCTACATAAATAAATTGAATCATGTTACCTATCAAGATGTCCCAAGCCTTCTTTCTGAATATGGGACAATTGAAAGGATGGTGTTGGCCACTGCTGTTTTACACTGATGCAATATGTTAAGAACTCAATTGTTTAGTGTCTATTTCTAACATCTTGCAGAACACCATTCATTTGGTTTACTACAGCTTTCTCTTCTTTGTCTCTTCACCACTGTGTGAATGTGCAGCTTAAACATTCTGCAAAATAGCAAATACTGCATTGGGAATTGTTTCTGCATGTTTACCCAACAAATGTGAATGCTTGGATGAATTTAATGCAATACAGGAATGATCCTTAGATGGTTCTACAGCTGTGAAAGCTACAACTGTTTATGCTTATTTATAGAACAATATGCAAAAAGTATAACCCTGAAAATTTGCAGCCTTTTATTATTGAATATGTATGTACCCTTGTTTTCTTTTTTTTTCATTTTGCTTGATGCTGTATGCTGCCCAGAATCTTTCCAGACTAGAGTAAGTTATAAATATTATGAAAATACATGGATGCATATATGTAAAGCTAGTCCTTGACTTACAATCAGTCACCTAACAACTGTTCAAAGTTATGACAGATCTCACCAGAGGTACTGATAACTCAGTTCTGGAGTTCCAACAACCATTCCTCCTCCCCCAGATATATTATCATAATTTGGGCTCTTCATAATCAGCCTGCATTTGTAGCATTCTGTCATCACATAACTGCAATTTATGTTTTTTTTGCTTAATAACCAATTTGCTTAACCACAGCAAAAAAGACATAAAATCAGGCACAGCCACAAGGCAGCCTACTTAAAGACCATAGCCTGAGTCATGACCATAATTCTAGATACACTTGTTATCATGTTAATTCCTTATAAAAATAATAGAAATGCAAATGAATTCCCAAGTTGTTGGATTTCTTATATTTCTTCTAACTAAAGATTGGAAGAAACTGTATACATCCCCCCCCCATCACCACAAAGTTATGCAGGGAAATGGAATCTAGTTGTTTTTTGTCCATAATCACTTCTTGTTGATTTCGATGAATCTAACCTCTAGTCTAGATTAATGTGTATTTAGTATGGAAAGGGAAAGGCACTAGTTATTTTTCACTGTATCCATCAGAAATAATTCTATCTTGCATAATTTATTTCTCAAGTAGTATCAGTCTCTTAAGCCATGTTTCAAAAACTGAGGGCAGAAAGTTTATAAATGCTGGCACACAGAATCATCTCAAAGCTCCTGTCATTTTAGCTGTTGAACTTTAAAAGCTGATACACAGTTAAGAGTGACAGATTGGAACAAAGAACGTTCCAGTGTATCCAAAGCAGATATTACAAAACAATCAACTCCTGATTTTGAGATACCCTTTCCATAAAGACAGAACTTATACGCTGAGCTAAGCGTTTTTGTTTTGTTTTTATTAAGAAATAAAAACTTCAGAAGAACGTATTTAAGAGAAAATCTCTAATAATTTATTGACCTTCAGTTTCACATTGTGAAAAAAATGCAGTTTTACAAAACCTCAAAACGTAGTAGCATATACAAAAAAACACACAGACATTTTACTTCATTTATTTTTGTACGTGAACTGCATCTTCAGTTGCCAGACAAGGAACACTATTCAGTTCTAATCACTCTTATTCAGACAGGTGTCAGGCGTAAAGAAAAGGGGCTACACAATTATACCAGAAGTGGTAGGTTGTCCTTTGTTTAACGTTTCCACAGCAACTGGCCCACAAAATACGAAGAACTTTCTCGTCTTATGCCAAGGTTTTTGTGTGCACTCTTAAGTGAACCGCATTTGTCTCAGAAGCGTGGGCTATTTTTTTCAGACTGGAAATCACCAAGTAACGAATCAAGATTCCCATGCTGATTCAAAGAGTAGGAGCTCAAAATATTCGCCTGCAGGGGTAGAGGCCCACCCTGATTTTCCATTCCCTTCTGCCTATACCCATGAAGTAAATCCAAGCACTTGAAAGCAAGCTACTGCTTTGAAATGCAACTGCAAAAACTTCAGACACTACAGGAAATTGGATGGTATTACAAAACAGGTTTGCGGTCTAAGCTCAACAATTCCATGGAGAAGTGCACAAACAGAATTCTGTCATTTCTCACTATAATGTTTTCACCCTTTTACATGTACACACACAAATAGCCATTAATTCCTATATAAAGTGAATGCAAAAGGCTAGCACTTACAATTGCTTTACTTGCATGTATGTTATGGGAGCAGTAATACCTCCAATCCTAATGTAAGTTAAGAGATATTTGAGAGAATTTGCAGGCAGGGCTTTATACGAACTTTATAAGAGCTTTGTGATAGCTTTTTTTTTAGATTTCCCAATTTGCCATAAGTTAATGCAGCTGTACTCTGTGCATTAACTTGCACAGCGATGTACTGGTTGTCAAACAACTCAGTGAAATGAATATTAATATAACTTCACTCTTGGATATTTAATTCAGAGTTCAGAAACAGAATTATTCTTAAATGAAGGCAACTGACCAATATTTTTGGATCAGATTGACCAAAGAAATTAGACTTCAGTCAACAATGTATAAATCAATAGAAGTTCACAATACAATGTTTATGTGTTTTATAATTCAGACTTTCTTTCAATCCTCTCTGCTACCCATGCTAAGAACCACAACTAACAATTTGAAAAACTTCACATACATTCATTTCTTACTTAAGATAATACATAAGAAATGCATATATATTGAGAATCCGGGGGGGGGGGGGAGCACACTTACGGCAACATGAGAAAGCTCTCTAACGCCAATGGTTACAATCCTTAAACATGTTTACTGGGGAGTAAGCTCAAGTTAAGATATTAAAACCTACTTCAGAGTAAACATAGGATTGTGCCATGAACACAAATTGTTCTTTACAGTAAACTGTCAGAATTGAGCTACATTATCAAAATGTAAGCAGACGTGATCATTATAACTGTTTATAAGCATGCATGCATGCATTTCAAAACAATTTGCTTATACAACATTAAGACAACCAACCACAATGGAAGACTGGTAGCAGTATATTGTTTGGCTGTACCAATTCTTATGAAAAGCACAACTAGAAAGTTAAACAAAGGAACTATGGGCTAAGTACATCAGGAAAGACTGAATAGGTTTACTTTTACATTCAAGCCAAAAAATAAGTTGGTGGTGTAGGATATTTAAAAATCCTTTGATAGATCAGGATCCCACATATGATACTTCCAGCTACTATTCCTCTGAAAGCTCAGATTGCTAATGAATGCAAAACAACATATTAAATGAATTTAGCAACTCCCTGCTCCCCCATTGACCATCCTAATTATTATATCTAATAATATAGATATATATTATTATATTAAGAAACAATGGGGGAGGGGGTAGAGAATGGGTTTTAATTCCAATTTAATCCAAGAAGATAAACCAAGAGAATTGGGGTTAATTTAAACAGACACTAACTCTTTCCCCCAAGGGTTTCCCATCTCTTAAAGAGAATAAAATTCCCCTGGTCATATAAATGGCACATTAAAACATTCGATCAGGTATAAATAAATAAATAAACAAAACAAAACTGTATATCTCATATTGGAAAGATTTTAGAGGAAAAAAAGGTTCTGCAGAATTTCCCTCCAGTCCCCTTTCCAATAGTGATGAGGCTGCACAAAAAGAAAGCTACAAAAGCTATTGTCTCTCTTTCTAGATGTTTTCATTCAGAAGGCATGACTAGGCAAATAAAGTGTAACAGAAATACTATCAGCAGGGCACACGTGTAATTCAGGGAGTCAATGGCTTGAGAAAACAACCTCCATGGCTTTGTCCTTCAGTACATATGCAATGTAAAATCGTTCCATTTCTGACCCCTACCCAGCTCTGAAATATTATTCAGCTTTTTTTTTTTTTTTTTTTTTGTGCAGCAGAACAAGTCAGAAATCACAGAATGTGCAAAACATAAGAGTCCGATAAGCCCTTATAACTTGAAAATTACTCCAGGCATTGTTTCAGCATGCAAGCACTGAACAATAAATAGCTGTATCTACAACAAGTAACAATTCAGAAGCAGGACAGTCATAATTAATAAATACAAGAAGAAATAAATTGCATGTACGTAGGGAAGAAGAGTCATTCTCCTTTCGCGTAGACGCTGGGGGAAAAAATTATTTTATTTTTTAATAATTGAGCTGCTGCTCCCTAAGAAAGTAATTCAAGAGCCACAACGCAGCTCACCAATTGAAACTGATGCTCCCAGCACTGCCTAGGACAAAGCTCATTGCCCTGGGCAAAGCTGCATCTTCATTCACAAAGGATACATCTTGCTGAACCCTTGTATGCTTCCTTCGCAGCTGCTGTTGACACTTCAAACTGTCACAAAGGGAGGTGACAACCATTTCAAATTTTGCACACAAAAAGCAAAGTCCATGAAAATTGAGGGTTGTGCTGTGTTATGCAGCTCTGGAAAGTTCATCCCCCCTCCCTACCTCCCCTCCCATTTGAAAGGATTATTAAACTTGACATTAATCCACAATTACTAACACAAGGACCCGACCATGGGTTCGTTCATTCATAATTAAACCATGTGCTGATATACCGAAAACAATATTCCCATTTCCATTCCTTCATTTCCAACTTTTAAGAATTTAGAAGGTGCAGGGTATCTTCTTCAAATTCAAAAAAGAAATGTCTTCATCAAAACCACTTCTCCACAGTTGGTTCCCAGGTTTACTCAGCGTTATAATGCAATAAACTAAAGAAAAGAAACAGAAACATTATAAACATTTTGATGGAGCAATATAACGTTTATATATGTTTTAAAGGTGTATAAAACAGACGCCTGTCATTATGTATCTTAAATATTAGATGCTGTAACCTCACTGATCGTATGTTATTCCTCTATAATGTAACCAGCAACTCTCTAGTTTAATAACATTAATAACTTGGCAGACAGAGGGAGAACGGTGCCTGAACGCAATAAATCAATCCTGCAAATGAAGAGACAGTTGATTGTTAAGAGGGAAAATAACGTAATGCAACATCTCTGTCATAACGTTGGCTGGCACAGTAGCAGGGACAGGCATTTTGGTCATGGGCCAAATCCAAGTAGCAAAGAAACAGAAGGAAAGGCAGCTTGTTGGAGAAAAGAATCACCAATCAATGCCTTATTAACCATGGAGGATCCTGAATGGAACTGATTCAGAATATGAAAGGCAGACATATTAATCCCCTTATTTAAAACATTTCTGCTATTCATTATGGCAGAACTCTCTTTTGTGGGGCTTTGTCCTGTAACAATGCAGTACGCTTTGCTGCCTCCCCATAGAAGCCTTTCCTATACGTCAATTATTCAGTGCAAAATATTAGCTTTGGAAGCCAGTGTTTGGCTTCTGTACTCCACCTTCTCACTCCATTATGCTCAGAGCCGGTTTTCAAACCAGGCACCATGCTGGTTTTTAAAGTAGCAATTAATAGCTCTGCCAGAACATATGAAGCAAAGTTTGATGGGATTTCCGCAGTGCAATTGTAAAAATTTGGTGGTTAACTTGGTGCGACTGATTGGAAGGTGCATGTGCACCTTAAAAGCACTGGGCAGGATCACAGAAGGTGTGTATGTGCAGTTTGCAAAAGAATACTATAGACACAATTTGCAATCTCTTGCATATTAAAAAACTAAAACCCGTTTTACTGAAGGAAAATCAGCTACATACTCCTGAGATGAATATGAAGCATATTATATTTTACACTGCAAAGCAACTTCATGGGGTTTTTTTTCTTAACTTTTTTTCCTTAACTCTTTTAACACACACACACACACACAAATTTTTGCCTCCTGCTGCCCTATTAATGGGAAGAAAGGGCCAGGAGAAAAATGTTTTTGATTGGGGGACAATCAGAAGCATTTTCTTCTGGTCCTTTGTTCCCACTGATGGAGCAGCAGGAGCCACACATAAAAATTTTATCACTGGGTACAGCGCAAACTGCAGGTTGGTTACGTTGATTCAGTTATACTAACCAATCGCCCAAGTAAAACAGGTTGGGAGGATGGAGGAAAACGATACCGAGAGTAAACTCTTATTTGATTATCCTGGAAAAATAAGTCTTTCATATACAAACATATTGAAAGGAATAACAGGATAATCTTTCATTATCAGATGTAAGGAAATTTGATATTTGAAACACTACAATTAGATATATAAAATATTCTTAAAATCCAAACTAAGATGGAAATGAGGCCTTTTTTTAATAAAAAGTAACTTATTTTATTTTAAAAATTTGAATCCATGCATCTACTGGAAACAATACTATCTATCACCTTATAGCAATTTTTCTTAATCTAGGGTCTGCCAGGACAATGGATGGAAATTATAGAACAGCTACCTTATAAGTTGTTAGATAACTAAAAAAAAAACGTGTAAAACTTTAATATACAAAACATTGAATATTAACACTGATGGGGTGTGTGATTGATAGAAGAGTTTCAGGTACTTTGCTGTTTACTAGAAGGATAAAACTATTTCTCTGGAAATGTATCTAAATTCAGCCTAGACCAAAAGTACTGAACAATGCCTCGATGTATGTGGATCAAGCTTTGACTGAGAAAAATATGTCATGGGTTTATAGAGAATAAAAACATGCATTGCAGCTATTCTTTACAATTAAGATTGCAGTTCTGCAATTATACTGATAAGGATATTTGTATTTTGATGAATCAATTTACAATATACCGTGTTTCCCCGATTTTGATTCCTGAAATAAGTGCTTGGCCTTATTTTTGGGATGTCTTATTTTTGAGGTACAGGTGGTGGTAAGCGTGGTCACCTCATGGATGCTGCGGTGTTGCAATATTTTGGGGGAGGGCTTACTTATGGGGAGGGCTAATGCGCTCTAAAGCCTGATTGGGCTTATTATCTGGGGAGGTCTTATTTTCAGGGAAACAGGGTACTATTGGGCCTCCTCACTGTTTTCTTCTTTACCCCCCAAAAAAAATCTGTTCTGATTTTATTTCAAGTGCTACTTAGTTCTTTTTAATCTTGACACCAAAAGTTTTAACTTCATAAGAAAAGACTAATGGCAAGAAATATTTACAACTGGAATTATGGATACATTAAAAACTTCTAGATGATTGGATAAATTATAAGCAAGGTCTATTTAAAATGAAGTTCCCTGAAATATTTATACCTGAGCATATATACTGCTGGTTAATATGTGGCTTGAAGTTTTGAAGTCCTTTCAGCTTTTTTTACCCCAAGCACAATGAGCAATGAATACAAATGGCCTGCACGCATTCTAACAAAGCAAAATTTGCATCTGAGCCCAGCATGCTAACTCAGAAACATGCCCTGCTGAACTTAATGGTTCCTCTTTTCCTTACTAAAGGCCATAAACCTCTTGCAATCCTGGAAGAATAAAAAATAGATAAAAGGATAGGTTTATATTTATAGCTGGCCACTATTTAAATAAAAGGATATGTTGCAAGGAAGGTTTACTGGTAGTTTCAAAATGAAAAATCAGGAGGAAAATCAATAATAAAAAAAAATGTAGCAAAAAGAAATACTGATATCTGGATGAGCTAGTTCAAACAAAATTGTTTTAAGTAGATACCAATCCATTAAAATCACAAACACTGCACCTGCCCACAACAGGTGCACACCTGAACCACTGCATTAAACTTTCAGATTGAATTTATGGGCTTTGAAACATCCCAAAGTGCAAACCAAAAATTACTTGAGCTAACTGGCATGTCTTTTAAACATAAGGTCAGAATGATTCACCATCGCACATACGAATTCTTTTCTAACTCCACCCCACCCTGGGGAAGCAGATTCTTATTGCTTCAGTTATTAATAGTCCCAATTCTATAAAGTCCAAGATATAGTCTTATAATATTTCATATAAAGTTTCCTTTCAAAAGATATATATATATATATTTAAAAATATATATTTTTAAATTGTAAGGTGTGGATATGGCAACAAAGTCTTAAAAGAATAGGACATAGCTGAACAAAAGAAAAAAATGTGAGAAAACTATAATTTTAATTAAGTAGATTTTCTCCTAGATTGCATTTTATTAAGATCATTTGCAAATGAGTGTGGGGGGAGGGAAATATATCTATGTGAACCCATAATTGCCTTAGGAACAATCTTACATATATAAGCCTATAAATTAATAATCATGGATAGATACAGATGTACTAATATGGATACTTGTGCATGACCAATTCATACACTATTTAACTGGGGATAACCAGGATAATTCTTATATATGAACAAAGTATCTTATGAAACAGATATTTTTATTTATTTATTATATTTATTCATGCACTGGTTGAGTCATGCCAGCTTTTTTGCTTCCTGTTTATTCAAATGAATATGCAGTTTTGATTTATAAAAAAAGTGAATTTATAGCCACTTATATTTTCAATAAGCAATTTCTCACCTGTATAAGCACACATGCAGCTAAGAAGGGAGATGTTTCCATGTGCTCACAAATGCAGTTGGGATTAGCGAATAGGGCACTGTGGTTATGCTGTTCCACATATCAAGTGTGGGGTCATAACAATCTAATGTTTTGCATCTCTGGATTCCAAAGTAGCCTCCCACAACATATAACTTGTTTCCAGATGCAACAGCATGGCAACTCATTCTCTTAGCTGTCACATCTCCCACTTTGGTCCACTGGTAAGTTTCACTGTTGAATTTATAAGCTGAGCAAGCAGAGAATTCAGTATCTCCACCCATAATAAAAATTTGGTTACCGAGAACAGCTGCAGCTGTGTATCGCCATGGCTGAGGACAAGTGGCTGGTACAGTCCACCTGTTTTCACCCAGGTCATAACATTGTACTTTTGGAAGCTTATCATGACTGACACTGGTACCACCAAAAGCAAAGAGTTTTAACTTTGCACTGACTACAGCAGCATTGCTTACTCCTTCTCGAAGTGGGGCAACCATTGTCCATTTATTAGTCACAGGATCATACTGTTCTACTTGTTTTAAGGATACTGAGGGAGAGGCTGGAAGACAACCAGTGGCTGCTGTGTGACCTCCTACAACATATAGACAGTGTTTGAGTTCAGCAGAACCATGGCCAAACCGAGCAACTAGCATTGGAGCTGCTTTGGACCATTCTTCATGAAGCGTATCATATACCCAAACATCTTTAGAGACTCCATTTTCAGATCCTCGACCGCCAGTAATATAGACTTTACAGCCAATTGCGCATGCACTGAATTCCTTCCTTGGGCTTGGAATGTCAGCTTTTGGAATGATCTCCTTTGCTTTTTGGTCGACAAGATATAATTTGTCACACATAAATGTCTGGCCTCCCAGAAGAAATAAGGCATGTCCAGTTTTTCGAGGCCTAGCACATAAACTAGTGACTACACCGTCATTCTGCAGAATCTTCAATTTGCACCTGATTGCTTCCTCTACAACCTCTTTACTTTTCCTTTGCTTGGTGATAAGCTCTTCAGTAGCTACATTTTCCATTAGGTATATGGCTGGCAAAAGAGCCAGTCTCACAGTCTGCAATAATTCTGGCAGGTAACAGTGACGTTTATTTATATCATAGTTAATCCAGTTCATGGCAGACTCATAAACTAATCGTTCATCTTCAGTCTCTAATTCTTCACTAGAGAGCAGCTGAACAACTATGTCTTTTGGAAGCTGGAGAAAATCTTCACTTTTACTGATGGTCTGGAAGTTGCTAAGGCACATCCTCCAAGAGAGCTCATAAAGTTTGGTACACTGATGAGCATCCGACAGAAGCAGCATGCCAAGGCAATTGGTATGATGAAGGTTCTTCTCCAAGAATTCTGCACAAGCATCTCTAATGTCTTGGAATTCCAACATATCACCTGCTTCCAAGAGGGACTCTGCATTTTCTTCATTGATGATGACCCTTGAAGAGTACGCGTAGTCCAGAAGAAGTTCTAGAACCTCTGGATGGATGGAATTGTGGAAGTTGACTTCACTGGCCTGGCTTTCTTTAAGACCGCCGCTGAACATAGCTTCAAAATATCGGCTACAGGCAGCTAGCACAGCTCTATGGCAAGGAAATGACTTGTTTCCAGCATGGAGGAGTACATCTGTAAATAAACGCTGTTGACGCAGAAGATTCAGATGAGTGAGGACACTATCAGCATATGAAGATTTGTGAAATAAATATATGTTTATAGAGCCAGTGCTGGCTCTAGACTTCCGATTCTCATGCATGCTGACTGACATTTTCTTCCACACCTAAATGTTAAAAAAATAAATATGATTAAGAAATATCAAAATACAAGAATGTTTTAAAAATAAGTTACCTGTACACATCTACTGGGAAGTCTATCCTTTGACTACAGAGTTTATTTCCAAAACTTAAAATTGTGGTTTAAAAAAAAACAGTTGCAAAACACAAGAATATGCTAAGCAACATCAAACAGGAGCTGAGGACATCCAATCCTATGCCTGTTTTTCCTACTATATGTTTCTTAACTGGCATAGTCTAAAAATAATTGCTCAAGACAGCAGGATTATCTTGGCAAACCAGACCTCCCACTTTCGTAACGATATAAGTGGCAGTTTCAGAATGGGTGAAAAAAAAAGACAGGTCTGAATTTTTCCCACACCTTTCCAGCATACAGCAGCTGATTTAATAATTATGTACTGACACACATATTTAAAAACATGCTTATGCCTTGAATCATAGTAGAACAAGCAACAAGGACGTTACAGTCAGGAGTACTTTAAGGAACACAAGCATCCACAAATTAACCTTATTAAGATTATAGTCTGATAAAACCAATTCCACCCACAGCATGAAAATATGTAAAAAGTTAAGACACAAATAGATCATTCCCAGCATATTTTGCTTTAATTACTATAATGTTACCAGTAGATTTTTACCTCAAAGCTACATATCTCTCCAGCAACAGATACTTTAAGGTGGCACACATGTGATTTAATTATATGCTGAAAGAGTTTCTCAGCCTAGTATATCCCAGATTTCTTCAATCTTTATTCCCACCAATTTAGCAAAAGGCCAAAAATTATGAAAAGGAACAAGATGCTGACTGGAAAACAAATCCTACAGTAAATAGGAATTTCCACCAATGCTGGGGAAGGAGAGAAAAATCCCCAAAACTTCAATATGGAGCATGCTTACCTAAACTATACAGGATCAAAGTTTTTTCAAGGTAAAATCATTAGAATAAATTCAGAACTTAAAACTACTACAAAGACGCCAGGAGAATAAGACACAATTTCTGAACTAATCAATCACGCTAAGCTGCCACTGACACCTGGATTCATATTAATACACTAAATGAAAGGGAAATAACATTCTGGTTTGGAATGTTGTGTGAGCCTAACCATTTTTCTGGAGCAAAATTTCAATTCTGCCAGTGAAAATTTTCCTCATAAAAAAAAATAAAAACCACCTCTGCTGACATTGACAGAATCTGCCAACGTTGTTTACTTTCCAGCTATGCCGTCCCAGAAGAATTAAGATTCGACAAAAATCACCTTTCTATCCCCCCTTCAAGATATGGTCATCTGTCCTGCTTCAATAAATCTACCACATATTGAAGGAGCCATTCTGTGTGTTCAGAAGTTATACTGGCTCTAACCCCAATGATTTGATAAGGCAATGATTCAACCTATGACAAGAGACCTGCAAATTGTAATTTCTGGTCTTATAAGTAGACATTCAAGAATGTTGTCCTAATTTGGAAAAACAAGTAATGTGCAAGGGAATGGCAAGCAGATGATCAGGGGAGACAATATCCTGTTGTCTCTGATGGAGAACTCTTATATTCATAACAGAATCAGAAGTCCCCTGGAGATGTTCCTACCAGCTGCACAGGTTCAACCTGTTCAGGTGTCATAGAAACCACTACTGCCCATAGAAAAAGACTATCTCCACAACCAAGGAAGGAGTGAAGAAGGACAAAAATATAATCTGGCATGACCTCCATAAAGCTTTCCCACAAGTCTGCCCATCACCAGACCAGAAAAAGTCAACAGAAACTAGCAAAAGGAAACTGAACTACTCATTAAGCTGCTATTTAGTGATGAATCAGATATGACACCTGAGAGGACTTGGTCAGTACTTAGACATGGGTAACAGACAATAAGCTCAGGACAGAAAGCCTGTGTTCAATTCACTACAATGCCTCATTTTCCTCAGGGAAAAGATGACCAAATAGGGAAAGTGAGAATGTAGGAATAAGTAGGACCTATTCTAATGAAGCATGTGATTCCTCCAAATTTTCCTGTTTAGTATTACTTTGTGACAGCACCCTTCCCTAGTATTTTGTCACTTGTAAAGGTGCTGTCACTGCTAAGTATGTTTAGAAACTGCTAAGAGATTAGAAGTTTTGCAGTTTGAGTCTAATATTTATTCAAAACCAAGTAATACAAGTTGGAGAAATAAGTTTTACTTTTTTGTGGTACTACTTATCATTATCATGTTTTTAATATATCAGCTGTCCAGAGCTACAGTCAGAGAGCTGGGCAGCCATATCAATTACATAAATGAAAAATCAAACTATTATGAGGTGATATCTGTAACAATTAAGCATCAATTGTTATACCTACAATGATACACTTCGATAGCCAATTATTCTCATTTTTTTGACTTGTTGGTCACTTAGTTACTACCATAAAGGATTTTTCTTTTCTTTTTTTTCAAATTTTTTTTTTCTTTTCAAAAATATTTTGTATCCTTGGAGGAAAATGTGGTTGTTTTAATATCTGCTATGCTTACCTTAAAGAAATGGTTAAAAGATAAATCTACCCATCACTGGGGATGTTTGTTAATTTGTTGAAGTATACCACAAATGTATACTTCATACTTATTACAACTTCAATGCAAAATGCACATGACCACTAGATAGCAGCAAAGAAAAGTATTGTAGCTTTTTGTTGCCAGCTCTAATGGCTACTACGGATTTCAACAGCACAGCTATGGTATGTATGTTGTACCCAGTTTAACATATAAATTAAAATCTTAAAATAATTTCCTATGAATTAAAAGATTCTTATGACTAAGCTAACTTTCACTAATCTATATTTATATGTATGGACTGAAACACCTACAATTCCCCAATAGCATGGGAATATACAGTCCTGGGTCATTTATAGAGAAGAATATCAATCACATGAATTGCTTTATTTCAGCTATGTTATTCCCATTTTTAAAAACAAAGTTAAAATCCCTATGAATAATCCTCTCCCACCTCACTTTCCAGGTAATTTTTTAACAAATTATGAGGTTGCTAATCCAAATATACCTTCTGTTAGAATAAGGCTGCAAATTTGTTTGTAATCTTCTAATAACACAAGATGAAAATATACCTTAACATTGATATATTGTTAATTATGTAGTAATTTCTTCTAAGATCTGCTTCCTAATATGTGCTTAGGCAATTTTTTTCCTAAATGGTTCAAAAAGACTACTGCAATAACCATTGAAGACTTTTAACAATGCAATTTATTGATTGTCTCCCATGTGGTTCTATGCTAATACACTCCTTATGTAAGCTCCCTATTATTTAGACATTTCCGGGTCCCACAATCTATCAAATACAGTCCATGCTAAACTTTCTGCTATCACTGCAAACTGTCTAAGTATGGACTACATGATCTGAATAGCCACTTCCAGTGCTATAATTCTAAGCCATAAATAGTTCTACCAAGTTATTTACAACACCAAACAAACCATCAAATAAAGGCAATGCCATTCAGATAATTTATCTTATGAAAGTTAAATTGTATATCTAAAATACACTGAAATTAACAGTTGAGCCATATACATGATTTAAGTAAACCTCAAAAAAACCAGGTGGGATTTATTCACAGCCAAAGCTACACAGAAAGCAAGTTTGGTCTAGTGGTTAAGGCATCAGGCTAGAAACTGGAGGTTGTGAGTTCCAGTTTCAATTTAGGCATAAAGCCAGCTGAATGGCTTTGGGTTAGTCACTCTCACTCTCTCAGCCCTAGGAAGGAGGCAATGGCAAACTACTCCTGAAAAACATTTCCAAGGAAACTGCAGGAATTTGTCCAAGCAGTCTCTGAAAATCAGACACAATTAAACATAAAGGTGGAGGGGAGAGTACATAAGAATTGAAGTGTGAATTATTGTATATTAAGAATTCTTTGGAATAATTACAGAACTGATGGCTCTTAATATGTTTTCCCACTCACATCTTAGTTTAGAAGAAATGACTTTGTGAGACAAATTTTATCCTCAGTTTCCAACATTACTCTATCAAAATATTTGTAATTCTCAAATAGCACAAGGCTATCCTTCATTATTTGTTCTTCAACCTCTGGAATTACAAACTATGTCATTATTGAATTTGGAAGCTTTACTTTATTCCCAAACCAATCTGATAGTGTGGTCAAGTCAATGGAAGTAATCAAAGAACTGACTATAACCATTATTTCTTCATTCAAAGAGAGACATAGAAACACATTATTGGAATGTTATTTTCCAGTATTCTGAATTTGGATAGCTCTTCTAAAAATTATTCAAAAACATGCACACACAAGTGTAAGCAAGCACATTCAAGCTTGTAAATTGTATAGCTTTTATTATCTTAAAAATCTTTTAGCAGCCAATCTAGTATGTGCATTGTATCTTTTTAATAATTTTATGTTTTTCAATGCAGCAATAAGCCAACATATTATGAAAAAAAAGCCAGAGAAGCAAATATTTTACTTCCTTTGTGTAATGGCCGAGACTTCAAAAGAGCTGTAAGAGGGGTGGGCTCAGTTACTAAGCAAATACTGATAAGCTTATCATACTACACCACACATATCATTGGGTAAAGAATCTGCTCTGTTATTTTGCTAATTTTGGTATGCAGCGATCCCCTTTCCATTGCTATAATTAATGGATTTCTATTCACTAGAAACAGTTGGATGAGCCATAAGTCTACCGGTTTTTGGTTTTTTTTAAATTACTATCTTCTGATATCACTGGTTTCTTTTATTCTATAACATCAGACAGGTGTAAACATTTATTTTTAAGCTGGTAAATTTAAGCTTCCAAATTTTTTTTACAATGTTACAAGAGATGGGAATATTTGAAGGAAGAGTTTTCCCATCCTGTTTCAACACATCTTGTTTTAAATTCTGAGGACCAAATGGTGCTCGAGTCTAAAACTAAGAGGTTTTGAACGGGCATAGCTCGGACCCCACTTCTTCCCTACTTTTACGCGCACCCCCTGCAACTACGCGGAAGAGCAGCGGACCACGTGCGCCCCTCTTCAACGAAATACAAAAAGCTCCGTCAACGGCTGCCTCCCGCTTCCCCTCTCTTCGCTTTGAAGTGGAAGGGGGAGAGAGAGAAAAGAGGCAGGCAGCCCTGGGAAAGGAAGGAAGCCAGCAGCACACCCCTCTGGCCCTCCTCCTTCCTGTAGGACGGAAAGGAACAAATGCGCCCTGCCTGGAGGTGCACCGACCCAAGTCCTCTAAAGCGCAAAGCATTGGAGAGGCTAAGGTCGACCCGAGTGCAGGGGAAATCAAAAGCCAGCTTAGGAGTTGCACCTTGTGAACCCGCACCTTTTTTTTTTAAGAGTAGTTTCGGTACTCCCTCAGCGTTAAAACTCTTTGCAGGGTGTCCAAACCGCCTCTCTGCGACCCATTGGAGACCCCTGCAACTGAAAACAAAATCGCTTTCGGGTCTCCCGCTGCAGCCCCTCCGCTCAGCAATACAATAAATCGCGCTGGATTCAGCAGCGATTCCTTCTGAGTGAACCACGCCGAGCTGTGGGGTAGTTAGACTCAGGCTGCAGACGAAGCAGCGTCTTCTTCCACCACCACCGCTATCCCTCCGGCAAAGACCCACAACCGGAGCTCGCCGAACCGGCTTAAGTTCCCCACCCCATCACACCCGCCTAGGCGCGAACCTGTTCCTGCGGCAACAGGTCGGCGCGCGAGGGTCCCACTTACAGCCGCCGCTTCCTCGGATCCTGCCTCCTGGGAGCCCTCGCAAGTTCACGGCATGGGGAGCCAAGCTTCTGTCCTCCGTCGCGCACGTTCCAGCGGGCGGCTCTCCTTAGTCGTTCGTCTCGCGTGGAGAGACCGAGAGCGCCCGCCTTCCCCTCCCGGCCACCAGAAGAGCGGCGCGGTCCTTCCTCGGCGACTGTCCCGGTTGACTCCGCACGCTTGTACGAAGGGGAGCGACGGCGCTCCTGCTGCTGCGAA